ACTTTTCAGATATATTTATTGTACTTTGAAGAAGATTGCATAAAATTTTCAGATTATTTGATCAATATCCTGAAGCAGGACACAGGGCGACGTGGGACAGTGCGCAAAACACGGACCGAGCTGGCGACTTTACTACAGGTCGCAAAAATCATCTGAAACAAAAAATTAAAAGATTTTTCTGTTTAGTATGAGTGTGATTATGGAATAGACCACTTTTAATGAAATTGATTAAAAAATAACAAAATGGCGGCGTTTGAAAAATTTTTGTCATTTTTACTGAAAATTTTCGTTTATAAACTTTTTTGTTTATAAAAAATCTAATATGCAATGTATCGGTGAAATTATGGTCTATTCCATGGACAATTTAATTACGCGTATTTAAAAAAAAATATCTTTAAGATTCGTTAAAAATTGACTGACAATGAGTTATGAGAGTCGCCAGCTCGAAAAACATCGTTTTCCAGAAAACGCGTTTAAAGTTTTAAGTGTAGTTTTTTTGATATATCATATAAATGTTTATATCTGGATACTTACAGCTAATCAGCTATTCCAGGACCATAAAGTAGACCCTCGGCTTCCTCAAAATTGATCTGGTCTTGCAGTCTCTCATGTTTTCTTGCAGCTAAAATTCCCGTGCCGTTCGACGCTCGCTACCTGCTTTGACGCGGTCAACTCGGAGGCTCATAACTTTCGAACCATTACGAATTTCGATTTGCCCTTTTAGTATGATATTCTACACTGTTATAGCTATCGAAAAATGCAAAAAAAAATTTTTCGATTTTTTCGACCCAACTAACCAGACAGTACCCTTAATGTAGAATAATTAGAACAATAAATTTATATACTTAAACAAATTAGAATAGTTTAAAAAATTTAAAAATTTAAAAATAAAAAAATTAAAAATTAAAAAGCAGATTTTGTTACATTACTGATACTTTTCCCTTTAAAATTAAAACATTCGATATGACACATTAAAATGATCTAACCTGTATTAACCTGTATTTATATTACAAGCAGATGGCAAGAAAGTAGGAGAAAGAGAGAGAGAGAGAGAGAGAGAGAGAGAGAGAGAGAGGAAAGGGTAAAAGATTAGAAAAATTTTCTATATTTATTTAAATCCAAAAAGCGAAAAACTTTAAGATATAATTAAGTGTTTCTCTTTCTTGTCGATTTTTATTTGATTTATTTTTTGAAATAATTATTAAATTGCTAAACATCGTTCGTGATATCTCTTTCAGTGTTTCTACCAGAGAGTTTGATATTTTCCTCCTCTTCCTCTAAAATTTCCTTCTTTTTTTTCTCTACCTTGAAATTTTCTTGTATAATTGTCTCTTCCATAAAACAATTTTGTTATCCCACATTTTATTATTTTATTATTTCAAGAGTAGATCATGTCCAAATTTTTTGTTTTGAAAGAAATTTTGAAAAAATATATATATATTCTTATATTCGAAACATTTAGTTTACTTTTTTTATTATTAATTCTAATGTCATCATCCTCAAGTTAAACAAATGCTGTTTTAATTCAAAAAATAAAACATTAAACGCAAAGTTCAATAAAATTTATTTAAAATGTATAAGGCATTTATTCTTATTTATCTGTTTCGTGCAGCTTGTAAACTGTAACATAAAAAATGAAGACGCTCTGTACATAAGGAGTTAGCAGTCTATTATTATATATAAGAATGTATACAGGTCGTATTTCGATATACATTGCCAATGCCTGAAAACCTATATTCTATAATAAACGTAACATGAAATATAGATTTTTAGTAGTATTGGCAGAGTGTATATATATCAGAACATAGAAGTCTATATTCTTATCTGTATATCAATAGCTGTAGATTGACAGTACCGTTAAATTAACTGATTAAAAAATTTGCGCTTTCTATAAAAAAAAGGATGGTTTTTGTTTTCCCGATTTTTGGAATGTCACCGTTTTCTTCCTTTTTTCCCTCGAAAGTTTAAAAATTTCTCGAAAAGAGAATTTTTTTATAAAAGTGGAAACACTAATCTTTTTTAAATATTGCAATTATGTGCAATTAATTTTTCGATTACGATCGGTCCGTCACATAGTTTCTCATCGGCCGCTAGGTACGAGGTTCCGAGCAATATGGCGATGAGCCTGGAGGGTGGGGAAAGGAGGGGTCGAGCGGCGGGGAGAGGGCTCGAAAGACCTCCGGTGGGTCGATAACAGGCCTCAGTCCTCATTTCACTGTGCATGAGCTACGTGTTCTCCGCAGTTCTCCTCCTCTCTTTAAAACACCGGCAATCGTGTGCACGCGACAAATTGAACGCTTCTTCTCGCGTGAATTCACTTTTATCTCGAGGAGCTGTAAACGAGATCACGCCCTCGTCGTCATCGTTATCCTGGTTGTCATTTTCATCGTTGTCGTCGTCGTCGTCGTCGTCGTCGTCGTCAAAGTGCGTCATTCAGTACGCGCGCGCGCGCGCGGCAAGATACGCTATTGCTTCCGCAAACGTTCGCCAGGCGCGCTGGCAGGAGAGAACATTTCGTGATTTCATACTGGTAGACGCACAGCTCGACAAACAGTGAGGGAAGTGCGCGTCGCGCAAGGACCTCGGGCAAGTGTGCGTAAGGGCCATCCGCCATGGACTTCGACGCAGCGATGTACCCCACTAAGAACATCGACGAGGGCAACCAGGTCTGCAAGCGACCCGGCGCCGGCGCCAACAGCTCCGCGTCGATGACCAACGGCAGTCCGTGTTTCTGGAATATTCTGAATCCCCGTAAGGTTTTTTCGAACACTCAATTGATCCTGCATACTCTTTCGAAGAGATGATTTGTTTTTTCCTCTTTTTGTGATTTTCCTATTTGATTCGTTTGATATTTGGAGCTCGTATGTTAAAACAGGCGCGAATATAATTCGCGAAAAATTATGTACCCTTTCTCGTTCTGTTCTACTTTCCGAATAAATTGGTATAATGCCCCCCGCTGACGGGATTTTTCGTAGCGCGAGTTCTCGTCGAGAAGCATGGTGAAATCGTGGACAATTTTAATTAATCCTCATCAGCGTTTTCATGTCGGTGACCCGGGCTTCGCCCTGCGCAGATGCTACCTGCCCGGTATTGGAGAATCTCCGATCGAAACTGGGTTATCGATTAGTCGACTACCTGCAAATAACATTTATGCCGATATCCTCATTGTTCGCGTTTGAACCTACCTGTACCTACCTGCCCCTGCCCATTTTGGGTTGAACCCTTAAAGTCCGTTTCGTTCTTTATGTAGATGGAGTACCTGTAAGAAAATGTCAATACTTAGAAATAGAAATTTTAAGCAAAAATGTCTGAGAATATTTGATCCTGAACGACAAAAAAGGAGCAATTAACTTTATTTCTTTGATGAGTGACATTAATTTATCAAGTTATTATTATAGATCATTTAATGACTTCTTACTTATTATAAATCTAATAATTATATCAATTTATTTAACTTAAAAAGATAAATAAATCATTTATTAATTGGATGTTTGTCAGTAAAAGGTTGAGAAGTCATTTACTTTCTTTACTTTTATCTTTACTTTGAACCTTTATATCTTTTTCCTAGATTATTGTTGACTTTTCGGAAAAAGCAACTGTTTTATATCTAAATACCAATTGCAATCTAAAAATTTTAATTAGGTTCCAAACTACAAAGATTTAAAACAGAAAAGTACGTCACCTTAATGAGTTATCATCGATTATTTGATTTTTTTACTCCGAAATAAATATTTTAAATTTTAAATTTATAATTTTATACATATATTTACTTTTGAATGTGACTCATTTGTTAATACTACATTGAAATTACTAATGCTCCGAATGAACATTAGGAGTTTTATATAAAAAATTTTCAAAATTTTACTCTAGATAGTCGCAAAACATCACGAATACTTTACATTACCTACACAGGTCTGCAAAATTTGACTTTTTTCTGTTATTTGGAAAAGAAGAGTAGTTTCCCATAATTTTTGATGCACTAAATCCGAATCCATAAGTAAAAGTCTACCACATTAGTTTTTTAAGAAAAATGAGGTTGAAATGCATGAAAAATGCGTCTTTGGTTATTTTTGACAGTTTGTAGCTAATAAATCCGATGTGCAAGAGATTTCAAAAAGGACTCAAATTAATGCTCGAACATTATGCTTTAATATAAAAATATCGGATCTTTACAACTAGCAACGAATCTGACGCGTTTTTTGTTGATACTTTTATTTTGATAATGCTTTTATTGACTCGCGATACGCTAATAAAATCGGTATAATTTATTGTATTTTTATAATCCACGGTTACCTGACGAGTGGGTGAAATTTTGCTTTCGCAGCACGTCAACATGGTGCGTTACGATTTCTTGCAACTTGAAGTAATTATCATCGCGACCTTGGATTACGTAACGCCACGAGATCCAATCGTGACTAACGTGCATACAATTGACTTTCGAACTTTATCCCAAAGTCATCCCGTCAGCTCTAAAGTATAACATGACAACTGATTGCTAAGAGTAAATTGCATAACTGAATTATCGTTATTTTTATTGGATTAACATGACGGCATGAAGCGATAACGATAAATTTTGCTCATTTAGTCCGTTTATTCTTGTATCCTGTCTGTGCATTTTAGAAAAAAATGTACTCATTTAATAACTTGATATATCTTTTAAAGAAAAAATGGTACCAAATTTTTGTTGCAAGGAATTTCGCCTTCTTTATCATACGTGAATACTGCAGAATACTTTATATAACTTTATTACTTTACAAATTGTAAGATAAAAATTTTGTAAAATTAATTGTAAATAATCGTGTGCGCTAATCTTTACAAGATAAAAACAATTTCAGAAAAAAATTGAAAAGAATAAAAGACATTTTTACGAATAAAGACAAGTACTTTATTGAAGCGCCCGATAACGGTGTGCTGTACAAGGATAGTGATATGTAAACGTCGTGCATGTTGTACGCATAATATATTTAGAATATACATATACTGCAAAAGGTAACATTTACTAAGGCTTATCGCTCGACTTATGAATGATAATTTTGTCTCCGAGTTTTACATTATAACTTGGTATTGCCAATTTTTCATCGCTTGTGAAAAAGTGATTCATTTGATTTGATTCCAAAGTCAAAATACGTATAACGTGTCGCGCCGTTTCAAGGCAACAGGAGTCATATTGCGCAGTGCACATACGATCGATTGCTTCAGCCTGGCTCCCTGCGATTCGCGCGCGTGCTTATAATTTGCTGGCGTGTAGTTTGAGATTATTTCCCACGCGATATATATAAAGCCCGGGGATATATGTGACATTGAAGGAAATCATGTTGACGTTTCTGTCATTATCGAGCACTGTATACCTGACGCATTTTCATCTGGCGAATGAATCTTTATTTATCCATTTATCGCATTAATATTCGGAGTAATAATAGAATGTCGGTTTAGTGCTGTTGTTGATTAAGGCTATTGACTAAGGCCTATAGTGCTGCAAAATTATCTCACTTGAGTGACAAATTCTCTTTTTTTTCTTATGACATCGTACATCATTGTCTTGCACAGACTATGCTAATATATTCGACGATATTCTTGAATATACCTTTCGAACACTTCCTACAAAATCTACTTTAAATTTACTAGTATTTAAATGACGTATAACGAACAAAAAAAAAACTTAATCGGTTATAGGACTTGTATTCAAATTTTGTGCCGCAAATATTATTCTAACAATAATTAAGATGCACGAACGAATGATAAAGGGACTGTGAATTTATATGCACTTGACACGTAGAGCGCGATGCGATATCTAAATGAAAGGGTATTGACTTCTTTGACCCCTTCCTGTCTCGTGTATACTTACTTTGTTCGTCTTTCGTTTGCTCCTCCTATGGAGTAAAATGATGAGAATGGTTTCACCAATGAGGAATTATGACGACTCGTTAAACAAGTAGTTCGTGTCCATATTAGTAGATCTATTAGTAGATTCCTGAAATAATACAAGTTTCTATTGTGATAAGTGACAAATTATTAAGAAACATAATCCTACCAAAACTCTTTTTTAAAAAAAGAAAAAGATTACGCCAAGTATATAAAAAAGTATCGTATGTTACATCCTTCCTAAACCAAAAATATTATTTTAACAAATAAAAATTATCCAAAAACAAATATGAGATCATACAAGTTGCCAAGTATTTAATTAGACATAGAAACAAAAATTTCTTTTTAAAACCCGTTTAACCATTCAAAAGTACATGCAGCAAAAGTTTAATGCCAGTCTTTCCAAATATTTTTAAGTTTCATAAAACATGCTTAAAGTGACTAAAATGACCAATGGGATCACAGTGAAGCAAAAACTA